CAGCGGCAGCAGGAAGCCGACAAGGCAGAGAAAGCAGCAGCTGCCAAACTGAAGCAAAGACAGTTGCAGAATGCAAAGGAGACACAGCCACGGCCATCATCCAAGAAGCCACCACCGACCGTCCCCAAACCCACCAAGGCATCTCATGACTCAGCATCTGCGCCCACGAAGCAGGCCACCCTAAACCCTTCCAGCCAAAGTGATTCTGCTGCCGGCAATTACAACAACACCGCCACCGCCACGACCGGCATGTCTGCGGAGGAGATGGAGAAGGCGATCAAAGAATTCAACGTGGACGCCGTCATGGGCGAGGGCAAAGCGCGTGTCACGTTCAAGGTGTTTGACCTGGGCGGTCAGTCCACCTTCTACATCTTCCACCCTTTCTTCCTCACCAAGTGAGTAGGATGCATTTGTGTGTGTGTGTGTGTGTGTGTGTGTGTGTGTGTGTGCGTGCTTGCGTGCGTGTATTGTGTGTGTGTGTGTGTGTGTGTGTGTGTGTGTGTGTGTGTGCTGATCACCGCTCCCCTCAACAACCCCACTTCCGCTCACCCTCCCCTCCTTACCCCCATCTTCACCCACCCGCAAACAGGTACGCGGTGTACCTGCTGGTGTTCTCAATGGAGGACCTGTTGCACCAAGACAAGAGCAAGCGGGCTGAATCGTGGGAGTTTATGGAGCACTGGCTCTCCGCCCTCCACCTCCACGCCAAGGGCGCACCCGTCCTCATCGTCGGCACCTTCGCTGACAAGATCAACGAGAGGAAGCAGCATGAGCAGATATCACGCGACATCTACAGCCGCCTGCGCCACAACCCGGCCTTCCCTGGCGTCGTCCACAACGACAAGCATGGTCTGTGGTTCTGGCCCGTCGACAACACCAAGTCCATCAATGACCCCATGATTCAGGACTTGCGCCAGTCCATCTCCTCCACAGCCTTAGCGCAGGAGTACGTGAGCCAGGAGGTGGCTGTGCCATACCTCCATCTCTACGACAAACTGATGGCACTGAGCAAGGACGACAAACGGCCGCTGCTCACCTTTGATGAGGTGGTGGATATTGGACGCACGTGTGGGCTGCGCACACGTGAGGAGACGAGGGCCTGCCTGCAGTTCCTGCACCTGTACTCCATGGTGTTGTACTACGACAGCGTGCCTGGCATGGAAGATTATGTGATCCTGAGCCCGCAGTGGGCGGTGGACACGATGACGCGCGTCATCCGAAACTTTGATCTGCATCACGACGTGCGTGATGGTGCGGCAAGGGCCATTGGCGCGCAGCTGTGGGACGACCTGGTTGACCGCGGTATCCTGCACCGCCGTCTACTTGATGTGCTGTGGAGGGGCTTGGAAGGTGGCATGGTTGAGCCCTTTCTCCAACTCATGATGGAGTACGGGTTGTGTATCCAGTACACGGCGCCAATGGTGCTGCTGCCCGGTCCTCAACAGCAACAACAACACCACCAACAGTACCTCGTCCCAGCCATCCTGCCGATGACGCTGGAGGACGAACAGGCGTCCTCGTCGGTGACTCTGAGCACGGCAGCAGCACAGCAAGCAAATCCGTATGTTGGATATGAGGAGAAGACAGCCTACGTCGCCTTCAGCCTGAGGGAGTTCAAGAGGGGTGTAAGCGCCAAGATTGCAGACACGCAGCAAGCCTCCTTCCTGCCAGAGGGCCTGTTCCCGATGGTTCTGGCACGCGTGATGGCACACATGCAGCACGGTGCAACGGAACCGCCCATGTTGAGCCGCACAGACGCCGTGATCTTCATGGATGCTGCTGAGATCGAGATGCAGCTCGTGCCGGCTGTTGGCGGCATCAAGATCAAGGTCATGACTGCACGTCCTCGCACGCTGCTGCACATGCTGTACGACACCATCACTACAGCTGTCATGCAGCGCTACCCCGAGCTCAAGGCCACGTTGCTGCTGCCATTCAATGACACGAGACTGCTGTTCTTCGAGGACGTGCACACCCACCACACGAACAAGAAAGCGCTTC